ATATTTTATCCTAGATTTCAACAGATAGTTATTCTCTTTTCGTATTCGTCTGTACAACCATATGTGTACACAATGAAGAAATGTGATTGTGGTTGGTTTGACATTATTTCTCTCTCTTCTTCTGTTGTGATATATAGAATTATGGGTAGCCGCAGTGTGGGGGTTCGATTCCTGAGATATGAAATTGGACTCCTTGTAAATGTAGTGTACAAACAGCTCTTGTTCTTTGGCCTGTTGAGGGCACATCCCGCAATTTATCTCCCTCACAAAGTTCTAGGGACAGGGCGGGACCCTCAAGGTTGAGGTTCAACCTTTATTTATTTTTATTTTTTATAGAAATATGGGTAACGACTTGATATATGATGCTACCTCTAATATTATGCTCATGTGGTTGAAGAAATTACAAGTCACGCGCTAAAGTTTTGTAACCTTCATCAATTAATTCCCTTGTTACTTGTGTAAGTTTTATTTGTAATCTCTAATATATTTATTCATGTCTCTATCTATGTAAATTACATTTGTGACCTTCGTTGTTGGAATAGGGATGTGACATATTTATCTTTTTGACTTTGTTGTCCCTCTAAAATTATGACGAATACGTAATCAATAGGTTGACTTTGACATATATCTAGTCCTCGACGGCAATTCAAATATTACAAGTGTTATATGACTAGAGAGACATCAAATGTGATCTCTATCTCTTTCTTATTGATTGAACTGGGAAATTGTGACACGAATATAAATACAAACTAAATTAGGTCGATTAGTGTAGGTGAGAAAAATTTATAACTCATGTGACCAAGAGAAGTGCAATGAGGATGAAACTCTAAACATGAAGGATGGTCTTTCTCTTTGTAGTAAAAGATGATAAGGTTAATAAGAATAAAATAATTTTAAACTTTTAAAAATAAATTTCAGATAGTTTTACCTCAATTATCAAGAATTGTGAAAATATAAAATGAAAAAAAAAATAAAAATGGATTTAACATTTTATCTTTTCTACATAAATACATTATTTGTGAAAAAGGAAACTAAAAGGCATGGTTTTGTCTAATTCATTTCGAGTAATACTATTTATACATCATTATACACAGATTAATGTACATATTATTTATGTGAAAGAGACAATGAGAATAAAAGAGAAAAAAATAAATGAAGTCGATTAATATAATATCATCAAATTGCATACAATTATGTACAAGTAGTATTACTCTTTTCTATGACTATATGTGATTACACGAATAATAGTAATCATTTGACATTTTATTACTATTTATCTCAAATTTTATTTCAAATATAAACCTTAGGGCTTCACCTTTTGACGGCCCATGTAATTCACTCTAAAAATTCATGAATAAATACACAACTACTAGACTATAAAAATAGCATTTCATAAATGACAAACTATAAAAATAGTTTCAAAATTCAGGTGATAATTCACATATTAGCACCTTAAAAATGGGGATTATACCATGTATAACAGATTTTATCAACCTTGAGTTACAACTACACCCTCTTTCTCTCTTTGAAACACCGATTCCCCAATTCCCCTCTAAAATCACCACAATTTCTCTCTTAAATCACCGATTGGGTACAAATATATGAATCAAATCAAATAAAGTCACTCTTCCAACGTACTAAGTTACAATGCAAATGACAAATTCTAATTTTCATTTGTTTTGAGTAGCCATAGCTTTGAGGTTGAACAACTAGGCGATTGGAGATCCATATATTTCATTGTAAAGAGATCATTACAGCTATTTTCTAGTTACATAGATAAACGATTAAACGGATCTTCTGTTTACACCGAATCAACATATATAAAAGCATGTTTTAAGTATTGAGGATGTAGTGATCATTGTTTCAAATAGTGTGACCACTACTTGTATCCGCAACTAGTGACAGTGAGTATAAGTTGTGAAATAATGTGTGCATTCTATTCAATTTATGTCCCTTGTTTTCATTTTGTTGGCCACTATTCAAAATCTTGTTATAAACAAATTATCTTGTTCATTAGTCTGTGATGAGATTTATTTTTTATTTTTTATAACTACAACTCTACGTGATAAGGTCTATGTTGACTGTCTGTGAACATATCTGTGGCCAGCAATGTGTGTGAGCAGGGATGTGAGTTTTGTACTTTTATGTGTTTTACGAAGATCACGAGTCTCTAATTCTAGTGAACGATTATTACAAGTACACTGAGATAGTTGACATACAATATCTTACAAGTATACTGAGCTACTTACTGAATGTTTAAGTGAATCAACTTCCTTGTCCACACGCACTAGCAATGTTAGCAACATTGAAGGTAAATGTTTAAGATTTCTGCTCGATGTATTACACATGAGATGCGTGTATGAATACCTACCAAGAGACAGTCTTTTTTGTAGGCAACAAATCAAAATGGAGTTTGCTAGAAGACGCGACTACTAACTGTACTTGCACCAAATCAAAAGAAAAGTTCTGGACGCTTTACTTAGAAGAGAAAGAAGTCAGCATGTGAGAGACTGTGCACAAGTTGTAAAATGTAGCCAAGAGAGAGAGAGAGAGAGAGAAAGAAGCTAAAGCATAAGTTTTTATTACATGAGGATATTCTTTATAGATACAAGTTCTTTCATTTTATTTTTAAATTGTGCATTGTTGAAATATTTGAATTGACAAATTTGAAAGAAGATTTTGAAATTTCGAATTTATAGGTTACGAACATGTTTATTGAATATGTTATCTATGTAGTATGTCACCATGTTATAGTTACAACTGCATATTTGTGAGGATGTCTGTTTGAGTTGATATTGTGTGTGACTAGGTCCATTGAAGTAGTTAATGTTTGTGACCTAGTTTGTGAGGATTACTTTATGTGACTATGCAGTTTTTAACCGTAACATTGAATATTCGTGACCGATTATGTGTGATCTGTTATTGTATGTGACCATATATCAATAAGATGTTAATTTTTATGACCATATTTCTGTATAGTGTGATGTATATGATTCTGTCTATTTGAATTGATATTGTATATAACCATTTAAAGTTCTTTAATTGTGACTATATGTCGCAGGGTCTTGTTTAACTATGATATGTTATATGTAAACTGTTTCTTAACTATGATTATATGCGTTACAGGCTTGCTTAAAAGTAACTATGATTTAATATGTTAACTTTTGCCATCTGTGGCAAGTTATGTGTTCATTTTGACCGTTTGTGACTTGGTATTTATTAACTTTAATCCTGTGTGATCAAGTTTGTATCAATTGTGACCGTCAATGACCACATCTGTGTTCACTGTGAATGTTTGTGACTTGCAATTCTCTTATTGTAATCTGTTGAAGCGTATACATTATTACACTTTTCTCTATATGAAACATTACTTCAATGATATAACAATCATCATTCACGATTTCTCATTCACATGTACATAAGAAAAACATTCATCCATGCAAGGTGACAAACAATCATCCACATATACAAAGAAACCAAATTAGAGCGTTAGATTGTTGTGATTTTGCCAGGGAACCATTTGCGTTCCTTTATCAAGTATTTTCAATCCTGCACAAATTAGAATATTAGACATGTGATTGTGACTTTCAACACAACCATGAATATGGGACTATGACCAACAAATATGCTAACTGTGATATGTTCTTTTGTGATTGTGACCATTTCTACAAAATTACTCATAAGCTATTGCATGTCTTGAACTTGTATTCTGTTAGAAATCAGGAAATAATATAACAAAATCATATTACATTTACGAAATATGAGGTTACATAGCCTTTGTTTGGCTCCCAGTGTCTTATAAATCTCTCTGTGTTAAACAGTATATCGACATGCAAATCTTTATAGTCGGGAACCACATATAAACAATTAGAAGATTGTGTACTCGGCTCAACCGGTGAACTCCCACCTCATTCATGTCTCTTATTGGATAAAAGCAATCAAATCTCGATTTGTAAATCACATTTTATCCTCGTTGTTTTGAATTACCTCATAAATTCTGTATGGAACAGTGAGATCAAGTAGAATAGCAACTGTTACGAGAATAACCACACCATTCTCACGAGTTATCTCCATTATATCTCAAAAATCATTTACGTTATGATCCCCTCGATCAGAATCTTCATGTTTACTCTCAGGAACATTCATCCTCAATAAAGATACGTAAACAGGGTCAACTCGTAGCATTAGTTCAATTTAATTTGCACTTTAGAAGTAACTTTCATAGGTAGAATCGGAATGGTTGAATATTTATGAAATAAAAATCTCAATTCCATATCGTACTGAGAGAGATCGACGTCGAGCAAGTTTTGTATATCAAGATACATTTTCGTAAATGATGTACTCGATGTTATTAAAATTCGATTAACTCCATTTCTTTCACTCGTCCATTCCCATTTCCATCGACCATTTTCATTCCTTTGAAATTCACAAAAGTAACAAAGCCATATTTGCATTATGAATCAAAATATTAGAAAAGAAAAATTAAATTAAGCATAAGGAATTAATCAATAAGGATAAGAAAAGGGCAAAAAGGTTGACCCGTCCGTTAACGTAAGGGAGGGTTGTTTGCCCCAATATTATTTTTTCCCCATTTTTTTATAAAATTATCTACGTATGCTATAGCATTTGTTGAAATAAAATTTAACGATTTAAAAATATACTAATTACGAAATTAAGTGTACGTAAATATACTTATCAATTTAAAATGTTGGATGTAAACGAAATTGTTGAGCATTTGATAAGTTTATCAGATTTTAAAGTTGAAGCAAATGAAAAATAAAAGAGTTTTTATCCGTGTTTGAATAAACAAGCAAAGGAAGTAACTCAATTTTGAAATTTTAAGCCCCTGTTTAGCCCCTTTTTCCCTATCATTTTTTCTAAAGTAGCATTTTCAACAACACATTCTTCATTAAAATAATATTACACGCAAATAATTTTTTTTCTTCTTTTCTAACCATAATTTTTCATCAATTTATTATTTTATAATACATTGCAAGAAATTGATAGAGCTCAAATAGGGTCTAAGTGAGAAGTGTTTGGGTTTTAGTTTGTGAATTAAAATGTATTATTATCTTTTTAAACAAATTCGTATTTTTGTAATTGTATAAAATACTTAAGAGTATTCTTGTACTTTAATCACAAAAGGGCAGTGGTAAGTGGCAAATAATTTTGACTGTTTTGAAAAAATGATCATTTGACCAAACCGTTGTTAAAAGAATAGTACTATGTAGCTCGACCGAGGTTGCAATTCCAGTCTAAATGACATTAAATGATTGGTTAATTAAAAAATAAAATTAAGCTCTTGTTTGAGCTCCATTTTAAGGGAAATATTGTATTTTTAAATAGTGGTTGATGGAGAATGTGTGGTTAAAAATTAAGAACAAGTTTTGAATTTACGTGTAATATTATTTTATTAAAGAATATGTGGTTGAAAATGATTTTTAAAAAAAAAGAATTTTGAGAAGAATTCAAACAAAGCCTAAATGAGCCACTTAATTGTACCTATCAATTAATACCACATTAGCTACACCTAGACTGATGAGGTCAAATAGTATTAGTCTTAGATATATGTTACACAAACATGATTGGGAAAAGAGTTTTTAAATAGGGGGACATGCGTCAAACATCGATTGGATAGTTAAAAAAAAAAAAAAAACACTAACCAAATATTGACATACAGTCCTTATCCCTAAACCTAGTCAACTGCCTCATTTGACTAGCGTAATACTTACTCTTATTAAAAATAGGGATAATTGTAGTAGAGCTCCAAACATTTAAAATATCAGCAGGTTTTCTCCAAACCTTTAATTTGTTACAATCATCACCCCAAACCTTTCGAAACATCGCGGCGGAGGCTCTTTTGAATAGTTTTCATCCAAATGTCTAAAAAAATTGATTTTGACCATATTATTAATATTTTTAAAAGGGTAAAATAATAACTTTTCATTTATTATATTAAAATAAGTTAAAGATTAAATTAAAAAAAAAAAACCTTCTTTTTTTCCCTATTTCCCTCTATAACTATTGTAGCAATATCTACAATTCCATCTGTTAAATAGCTATTGAAACTCAAACAAACACATAGCTTCTCTTTACCATCTGCCATTTTGTTTATCATTAGCATGTTCTATACATATAGTTTTATATGTAATCAAGCATAAACATATACGGAGAGAAATAGAGAAGGGAAGAGGGTTTTTGTAACGATCCAATTTTTTTTTAAAGGGTTGAATTGCTACCAAAATTTTCACTTGAATTTGGACAACTTGCAATGCCATTATATATAATTAGGAAAATGTAATTTACTCAAATTTGTAAAAAGAAGTAAATATTAGTTTATATATATATATATA